TTTATTGGAGTGCCCAAATGTGAATACTTTTAAGTGGGAGGTTTGGTTTCAATATAAAATAATTTATTTGATAAATATTTTTTGGTGAGATACTTGGGTAATATCTCATCAAAACAATGCTTTTGCTACTTAAATCCACATTATATTTCTTAAAAAGTTATTATAATCAAAAGTAAAAAAGTCAAAATTAATTATAACACAAATAATAACATAATATTATTACATATTTATAATCTATTATAATATTATTTACTTCTGCATCAAAATACATTTTTCAAAAAGATAAAATTTAATCAAAAACTTGTTTCTTTCGTATATTTATTCTTTTAATATTATTTTTATAATTATAAATTTCGAGATAATAAATAATAAGATTTCATTAGGTATCGAATTACGTAAGAAAAATACTATCTAAATAAAGTTTAAATATAACAAAAATCGTAGAATTTGAATTATATTTACACCATGATACTGATTATCTCTATTTTGAGAATGGTATATTTTCATTTCTTTACTATATAAAACAAAAGAAAAATGGAGGGAAGAGTGGCTGATCATACCGTACATGAAGGGTCCCACGGCTAAGATGCTGAGATGACAAAGATCAGTGGAGAGACCAGAACCAAACAAAATGTTTATGAAAGCAGAGAATCCAAACTCCTAAACCCCTGAAAAACAGAACAGAAATGAACATCTTTTTCGCTTCCTCATTGTATAAACAGCGACCTTAGACTCAAGACTTTTCCCTCTTACAACAAATAATAAAACGCTTCCAGAAAAACAGAGAGTCCCCAAAACCTTAAAACCACGAAAACCAAACCATGTACAGAGCTGCCCTTTCTCGTTTCAGTGCTGTGAAGGTCAGTTTTTAAACTCAAAACCCCTCCTCTAAAACCCTAACAGTTTTCTGTTTGTTTCTCGAGGAAATGCAATATAAAAGAGGACAAGAAAATAAGTTTTTAGTTTTTGTCACATGGGTTTAGAGAGTCATTTAATTACATTGTTTAAGATATGAAGGTTTTCCAACTCTTGTCTTCGTCCAGCTCTGCGTTTTTTCTCTTTGCATCTTATGTAGTGATCTGATTATTGCTATTTGATGTTTAATATATCCATTTTTTTTAATTAGTTTGTTAAATTGGGTATGTTTTTTTTCCCCTGTTTATGCCGCATTTTTAATGCATCTAAATATAAATGTGCCGTGGCATTAGAAGAAGATACTATGTATATATGTTGATTCATCGAATAGTTTGCCTTATAGTTTTAAAAGCTTTGCTCTTTTTTCTTTTTCTCTACTTGGGGAGATGATACTGGGCACAATTAAACCATTGGTGGGATGGTCTTCTATGTAGTCACTTACAGAAAATGCTTTCTGAACTTTTATGATTAGGGCCGCACTGGCAATTTGGCAGCTGCCCGTTATGCAACTTCAAGTGCTGTTGCGTCTTTGGAGACACCATTAGAAGGCGTTCCCCTTCCACCTGCACTACCTGATTATGTTGCATCTAGTGAAACGAAGGTTAAAACTCTATCCAATGGTGTGAAAATAGCCTCGGAGAAATTACTGGTATTGGAACTTTTCTACACATCATATACTGAACTGCTATTTTCATTTTTATGTGATTTACTGCTACTGATTTCTGTTATGTGTTTCATTGGTTATAGTTGAGTAAAGTTCTTTGATTGTTTTATCAGACTCCTGCTGCCTCCATTGGCTTATTCATTAATTCTGGTTCCATTTATGAGACGCCAATGTCATCTGGTGCCTCCCACTTGCTGGAGCGGATGGCATTCAAGAGCACTACAAACCGCACCCACTTGCGTATTGTTAGGGAAGTTGAGGCAATTGGAGGTAACACATCAGCCTCGGCCTCTAGGGAGTGTATGGCATACACCTTTGATGCCCTTAAGACCTATATTCCTGAAATGGTAGAATTGCTTATTGACTGCGTGAGAAACCCTGCTTTTTTGGATTGGGAAGTTAATGAAGAGGTATGTTTTATTTAATCATGCCAATTTTCTTATTAAATTGACAGTTGTCTTTTCCAGAATTCCTAGTACAAGGGATCCATGAGTTCTGAGAAGGTAGAATGAGATATGTTTGACACTTTCTGTCCTTTTCAAGTGATAACCACATCTGCAAATGTACTTAAATCAATTTGCACCCTTTATATTATAGTTGGAGTATTATGTTTTGATACGGCTGTTGGATGTTGGCAAAGCAACAATGACAGCAAATCGTGCACATGCTAAATAGTATCAGTTATATTGTGTGTTCAAGGAAATAGCTTGTTGCAACTAGTATTGCTTACCTCCAAAGAAGGCTTCTCGTTTCCTAATTCCCAACCCCAGCTCAATTATGAAATTTTTTTAAAAAAATTCTGTTACATCTAAGCTTATGTGACGAGTCTTCATGGCACCTTCATAATTGTGTAAATTGATAAAGCTGAAACCCACCAGAGCAATGTAGAGGAAACAAGTCTTGTGTTTTGGTCTTGTAATTTAAGGAATTGGGACTGGAATAAGTACCATTGATTAATTTTCTGTATTATTATGCACTGCAGTATAGTTATCCTTATCATTCTCTGTATTAGCAAGTTAATAGCTAATATACGTAGATTTATTGTTTAGTGTGTGTAGCTATATATGGGACAGTTTTGTGAGATCGGGGACTAAGTATCTGTTTCCATTGATAATGAGCTTAGAACAAGGATTTTGCTTGTTTTTGCTTTTTTTCGGTTCTTTGCCAATTGTTGAGTATTTATATTATACCACATTCTTGTACAGGTGCAAAAGTTGAAAGCTGATTTGGAGGAAGTATCCAAAAATCCCGAGCGTTTAATTTTGGAGGCAGTTCACTCTACTGGTTATTCTGGTGCATTGGCTAATCCTCTTTTGGCTCCTGTATCTGCGCTAGATAGATTGGACAGCTGTATTTTGGAAGAATTTGTTACTGTAAGAATCTTTTGTGCTGCTTGTATCCCTGCATGTGTTTTACATGAGTAGCACAATTTTTTCAGTATTTTGAAAATGTGACTTTTGTTTTGATTGATATATGTTTTATTCTGTTTCTGTCTTTTTGCTGAATGGTGGTTGATTTGAGGGTTTTAGGAGAACTATACTGGGAATAGAATGGTCCTGGCAGCATCTGGCATTGAGCATGAAGAGCTTTTACAAATTGCTGAGCCACTTCTTTCTGACCTCCCAGCAGGACCCTACCTGGAAGAACCAAAATCTGTTTATGTTGGTGGCGATTTCCGTCGACAAGCTGATGCACCGGTGTGTTTTACTATTCATCAGAAATAAAGTGTCTAAAAACATCACTCCCCCCCCCCCCCCCCCCCCCCCCCGGCCCCAAACGGAAAAAAAAGAAAAGAAAAGAAATTCTCTTTAGACCTTATGATTTCTTCTTTCTTGTCGTATATTGAAAGTTTTGGTTGTCAATTGCAGAGTACCCATTTCGCTCTTGCTTTTGAAGTACCAGGTGGCTGGAATAGTGAGAAAGAATCTGTCATTCTGACTGTAATGCAGGTACTGGAGTTGAACTTTGCTCATCTATTATTTAATGTCTTTTGATTGTATATTCCCTTTCCCTTTTATTAAGATTGACAGCAAAATTGTTGGGTCACATTGTCACATGTCTCTTGTGCTTTCTTCAACTTTACTTTTTAGTTTCTGTTCTCATTTTATATGATTTCTGCTTGAATGGTACTAATGATTCCGATTGACCTACAGATGCTCATGGGAGGAGGTGGCTCATTTTCAGCTGGGGGTCCGGGGAAAGGGATGCACTCACGGCTATGTGAGTTTTTCTTTTATCTGCCATAAAATTCTCCATGCTTGACAATTTGCATTTGATTTTAGCTGATGTCATTTTTCAAACAAAATTTGTTTTGCAACAAACTTTCATTCTCCCTGTTAATTGTCAAATAGCACCAGTTTTTGCATGTATTTCATGCCAAACCTCTCATGCTTAAGCATATATGTGCTTAATTTTCCTTTTTTTTGTTCTGCTTGGACAGATCTCCGTGTATTGAATGAGTATCAGCAGATTCAATCTTTTTCTGCATTCAACAGCATCTTCAATAATAGTGGATTGTTTGGCATCTATGGTAGCACAGTAAGGCTATCATTACATACTCTTCTTCCCTGTTTGTTCGCTCAAAAATTTGTTGCAGTGTGTGCACATGTATGTGCAGATGTGCATACGGTCTTTATTATTGCACTTTATAAGCTGCATACGGTCTTTATTATTGCACTTTATAAGTTGCTATCTCTTAGTTTTTTCAGTAATGCATTTTGATCTTTCAGAATCAAATTATTTAAGTGGTAATTATTTTAATTGGGTCTGTAAATATTCTGCTTGCCCACCTTTTGTAATTACAAAAAGTTGAGAGTGCTCAAATTTTGTGCCAGAGCTCTGATTTTGTGTCAAAAGCAGTTGACATAGCAGCAGAAGAATTACTTTTATTGGCAGAAGAAGGAGCAGGTTTGCTTGCATTGCATTTCTCTTATTTTTTGCCTTTTTGTTTTTAGGCCACTCCTTTTCGCATGGCAAGTTTTTTCATCATTGCTACCCCTGTTCTTTTGGTTTTCTTTCATTCTTTACAAAATTTTAAACTCATCTTCATGGCAGTTTCTCGGCTAATGATGAAACGTGCACAAGAGGCCACAAAATCTGCAGTACTGATGAATCTTGAATCTAGAGTATGATTTTTCTCTCTCTCTCTCTCCTCTCCCCCCCCAACACACACTTCAAAATCCATTTAGAGTTGTGCATTGTTCTGGCCAGTTATATTAATTGCAATTCTTTCTTAACCAATTTGTTGGTTTTTGCTATATTGTTCTTTGTTTTGTTAAACGAGTTGTAATATTAGTTGTATTTATCAGATGATTGTGGCAGAAGATATTGGAAGGCAAATTTTGACATATGGAGAAAGGTGTGTTTATGGACTTTAAATTCCTCTTTCTGTATCTATCCTATGCATTCAGACAGGATCACCTACACCTAATCTAAGACAATCTACGTTTTGACCTGCATCTTTATCCTGGTAAGACATGATTGTGAGAAAATGGTTACGGAGAACACAGAATTACGGGCTTGTGATATTTGATTCTAGTTACAAGTGTAATTTTCCTCATTTTAGAGATTATATTAGAAAATTCGGCACTTAAATCGTATATGGTTGCATCTTTAATTGTTTTCCCCCAATAATGCTTTATCAAAATTTCACTAAAGACTGTCAAAGCTCCAAGTAGAAACCTTTCTGTAATTTTTTTCACCTGCAAACACATACCCTGCTACAGAGGGTACTTGTGTACTTGTCTGAAATTGGTTACAACAACTGCGGTTTCATGATGTCAAAAAAATTTGAATTAGTAATTAATTTAAATGCTTATTTTTTGAAAATGGTCATATGAGCGAAATGACCTTGTGAGTTTGTGATGTACTATAGCATTATTTTATTTATTCTCTATGGTTAATAAAAATTTCTGCTCATTTGAATTGTGAAATTCATATTACTTGTTACTATTATGTAAAATAAGTTTTCTTATGTTCTAGTTTCAAACATGTTTTGACATCCTCTTTTGCCTCTGCAACCCAAACGTTGGGCTATACTAATCTTGCTTTGATAATACTTGGTGAAAATCCCTTAGGTGGTTACCTTGCTAATGAGTTCATGTCTAGTCTGAACTGGCCATGAAAACTTGTTTACTGCTCTTCTCTTCTTCAGTGGATGTTGCATTGTTTCGAAATGATTAAAAACCAAATCACTTAATGGAATAGGCTTAGTCAGTTGATTCTAGGCTTCTCAACTTCTATTTAAAGGGAATGATATGTACTGTGACAAATAGTGACCAAAGAATTTAATGTCTAGGTGTGTTGTTTTCTTATGGATTTTACTTGGAAGTGGCGTGTAAATTCCACTATAATTTTGCCTCATGAAAGGGAATATGCAATTTGTTTTTCTGTAACATATTTTGTCTTACTTCTTCTCAGGAAATCTGTACAATCGTTTTTAAAAATGGTAGATGAAGTCACTTTGCGCGACATTGCTGATACAGCTAAGAAGATTTTATCCTTACCTCTAACAATGGCATCGTATGGTGATGGTAAGCATCTGATTTCCTGGGAACTATTTGATCCAAAGTCTGGTTGTAATCAGATTATGAGATTCTTTACCCTTCTTGCTTGGCAGTTATTAATGTCCCAAGCTATGAGTCAGTCAGCAGCAAGTTTCATGCGAAATGAGTGTAATAATTGAATTATAAGCCAGAGGTGGGTTTACAATGGTGGCAATGCGGGCAGCTGCTGATATCCTTAAACTTTTTTGGTAGTATATGTAATTACTACAAGTTTTAATTTTTCATTTTAAATTTTATTATTGGGTTGCAAGAAATGCAACTTGACAAGTATCGTATCCTAAATATTGCCTCTTAAATTATGTTATATGTTCCCAAATCCCTACATACATGTGTATTTGCTCAGATTTTGTTTATAAAAATGTTGCTCCTCTGGAAGAATATGTCAGCCAAGGGTCTCACAAATCAAGGTCTTAACTTTATAAATGATTAGGTATATTATATCTTTTCATGCTCTCTCATATAGTGTCCTAATATAACCAACTTCCTACATTTTGTGCCTCAACAACTATGCTAATTTAATTATCAGAGGTTTAAGTAAAAAGCACATCCAATGCGCACGTTGTCCACCTTTTGTTACTCACCAATACTTTCCAAATAAAACTAGTTTTATTTTAGCCTTATTTAGAAGGAGGTGCTCCAATAATTCATTTTCACACTCTTTCTAATTATAACTATACATTAAGTTGTGTGTTTTTGGGCTTTTGTCACAAGCAGAGCAGTTGCTCATTGCTAGTCATCTACCGTATATGCAAGGGAAAAAGATTGGCAGTCAGTCCCAGCCAACATTTAAAGCTAATTAGGCCAAGCAAAGACCATTGCTATCGGCTGGCCGATGTCCCAGCAGTAGGCGGAAGCCGAGCACACGAAGCACAAACTCGTACCTGTTTAATGGCCGAAAGGAAGTCCTGCAGTTGCTTAAAATGTTTGTTTGACATCATTTCCTCAATTATTTGCACGCTAACGCTACAGTTTGCTTCAATTATTTTTGATTGGATGGAGATTACTTATTGTTGAAGTCGAAAACCAATGTGCGTGCCAAAATTCAACATCCCACTGGTTTTTTCTTATTGGTAACACTATAGCGATAATTAACTTGTCAATTTTCATTATGCTCATGCAATGTTTTCCCACCAAAATCACCTTCTACCACCACAATCTGGCGCTGCTGGCCGGCCACCACCACATTCCCGGTGTCAACTGCCTCAGCTGGCGTCTGGCCGTGGAAACAGATAACATCCGAGACGTGACCTGGATGTGGTTCCGCAAGTGTGTGAAAATTATACATGTTTCCTTCTGAAAGGCATGCACTTCTGTTGTAAGCATACAAAATGGTTCCAAGTGTCATTAGTATAATGAGCCTTCAATGGTATGTAACGAGGTTCACAAAAGCTAAAACCAAGGGTAAAAAGAGATTGTCTCTATTCCCAATAATTGAATTGAACCGACTTTTATACTATTTTGCATGGCAAACTATATGCATTGTCTTTTATTTTTATTAATATTTCAGGGCAAAGGCATAGCACCAGCATCGCCAGCGACACCAATACATGCCTATACAAGAAGTAATTACCGCGCCTCCATCGGTTTCAAGATTGTCATTGTGACAAGAAATTAAGCCCAAAACTTAAGACAAATCACTCAACAAAATATGAACAAGGTGGGTTTAACTTATCACACCTGGGAGAAGCTCATTCTAAAGTAATTAATTAAGCATTAATTATGAAATTTTGCTATTGTTTCCTATTTACTTCCATCTTTCTCCTGAACAATGGCCTTTTCCTGGGTCACCACCAATCATTAATGTTCTACATGTTTTCTTCTTCAAGCTCAAAAATATTATTGTCCATCTGCTTCCTACTTTTGCAGGCCATTAAAGGCTAAAACCAACAAAGTAGGACCAACTTAGGATAATTATTTTATCTACATACATATATACATAAATCTAGACATTTGAATTAGTATTTAAAATCAGCACAAATGGGTATAAAATTTACAGGAAATCATTAAAAATTTAATTCGTAAACCATACAGTAGTAATCAACTTCATTTTTCTCTCCATGGAATTATTGTATCCGTGCTTGCTTTCCTTTTTTTTTCATTTTAAGACAGATTTTTTTTTTTTTTTGCATATTGATGGTCAGTTAACAACATTTCCACTGAAACTGCTGTTAAATTTTATATATCGTGCAGTCAAATGTACAACATACAGTTAAATATAAAAGAAAAATATCGTTAAAAATTAAGCTCAAATTACAAAAGAACATTCGAACAATATATTTAAAGCTCAATCAAGCTGTGGCCAAGGCAGAGATGCACTGCATGGGAAGTAGGGTGATAGGCATTGGGTGGGGAAATGCTATATGCTTTGCTCAAAATGAAATATTACCAAAAAAAGAAAAGAAAAAGAAAAGCCAAAATTAATGATCAGGAAAAGAAGATGGTTGAACTCAAAAGTGGCTCATAGTGAGAGTGAGAGTGGGACGGAGAAGAACTGATTGAATAAATTAGTGTCGCTCAAGCTCAAGCTCAACCTCAAGCTCACTCAGTCGGATAAATAGTTTGTGGCCTCTGATTGTGACTTAACGATTCTTCAAACTCAATCATTTCACTGTGCACCGCATTTAGATCGTCATGCAGCAGTAATTAGACAGTGTGGTTGCCTATATCCTTCTTTCATACTTTCCATCCTACTATCAAAACAACAAATTTTTAGAAAAAGGAATTTTGAAAACTAGAAAGAAAATTGAATAAGTAAATGTTTCTGATACTATTTTATTTTTAATTAATATGTGTTATACAAGATGAAGAAAGTGCATCATCGTAATTTGCTTTTTAAATAGCAAGACATTAATATTATTACTCAATGCTGAAAAGAGCAAACACATAGGGGGAACTGTAAGGGTCAGTTTCCCAAAGGAAAAGCTCAAAGAACATAGTATTGAAGCAAATGACTACCGTTGCCTCTGGTTAGTTTCTATAGTTGAGATCTTGAGTGAACACAGAGATCGCAGTGAAAGAGCTTTTGTCTCCCATGAACTCATGCGCCGATCCCTCTTTTACAACTTTCCAAATTATTGTCGCTCTCAATGTTATTACTTTAAGGTTGTCGGTTGTCCCCTTTTTTTTTTTTTTTGGTTATATTATCTATATACCCACCTTACCACACTGTTCTGATGGAAAAGAATTTGTTGGATGGTGTCAAAGTGATTACTGATAAGCATGTCTTACAAACTACAAAGAGTCAAGGGGTCTATTATTCAGTAGAGGTGGGCTTGTGTTCTGAAATTCTCGTTTCCAACTATACAGTTGCAGCCTTTGGTTCAGTGAATCTATTGCTTTTCCCACCTCTTCTTGATCAGTGAGTCTAGGTTTTCTTGCAAGAAGAAATTAAAGAGGGGAAAGCAAGGATCCTTAAAACTTGTAGTGGTGTCTGTTAAAATGCTAAAGATCCCTAAATATCTTCCTTTGACTTTGCTTTTTTTGTGTATTGTGATCCAATGGATCACTTGTAACACATTTCTCCATTTGAGGTAAATCCATCCTTCAAATATTCACTTACAACCATTATGAAGTCATCCACATCAACTCTTTTCACTAACTCTGTCCACACACATACACATCATGATGCAATGGTAGGTTAACTGCATACATTTGCTAGCACAGTGAAATTTTGGAGATTGATAATTACATAATATATGTATTTAAGGGTCTTCTTTTGGTTTTTTTCCACAAGAGAAGGCAGTATGACTTAAAATTTAGGATTTTTACCTAAATCCCACCCACCTTTACCACTTGAGCTAAGCCCAAATGTCTACCAAAAGGGTCTTTATGTCCTTTTCTTTAGATTCTTCAATAAACATGAATCACATATTTAAAGTTGTTGCCTGGCATGGATTATATGTCATGTCAACTTTATTTCAACAATTTAACAATTTCAAATACTTGATTTTATTTTCATTAGATATCTGAAAAAATATATATAATTTATGAAGAACTTTTCCCCAATCATGTGTCTAAAGGAAGTGTGAAAACAAGAACATTTTAATAATGCTAATATTAGTCTCCAATGTTTAGTCTATTGCACTAAACTAATGGAAATGTTGTTTTCACATAACTTTTGACTTTTATCCATTAGATGCATTTACAACAATCAAGATTCAATTCATTCAATCTACTTGAATGTAGGTTAAGCCGCTTGAGAGATTTGAGTTGACACCTTAAAATTTAAAATAAACACTATTTATATCTTTAATAATTTCCAACTTTTTTCACGTGATGCTTTGTAATTTTTATTTTCAATTAACTATATGGGAATTTTTTTTTTCAGTTAGCATCTTATGGCTAACTTCTATTCTGTAACAGTTTAGACTGTTAATTTTATCAAATAAAATGACAAAATTCCTATTAAGTGTGAGTAAGTAGTTTAAATTTAAATTGAGATTATTTTGAGAATTTTACTGAGCAAAATTATGAGTTTAATCTCCTGTGAGATGGAAATTATTTACAAAATACTAATTGAGAAAAAAATATATACACTATGCTATTTGAAAAAAAAATAAAATCACTAGAAGTGTAAGTAAAATTTACCTTAAAATCTAACAGCTATATGTAATTAAATTTGAAAAAAAAAAATTAATGCATCAGACATATAGTTGCAGAAACAAAAATGAAAGAAGAAAAACAAGAAGGATATAAAATGAAAGAAATCAAGTACTCCCAATCTCAAATATACCTTTCATAATGAAGAGCAAACTGAAGTGGGATAATGGAAAATTAATGCAATTAGGTTGATCGATATGAAGTTTTAATGATCCTTACAGGAGATTTTTATCCTTGTGTGTAATTTATTTTAGAATGGAAGGTAGATTATAGTCTCACTTGTTAGTTTTTATTTTTGGTTTTACAAAATATATACAATTAATTTGCCCAAATATAAGTTTACAAATATTTGTCATAAAATGGATAAGGACAGCCAGATAATTAAATACAAAAAAAGAGGTCACCTAACCAGTATCTAAGCCTATTTAAACTAGCCAACTCGGCTTATCCAAGAGGCAACAAGCAGCAAATTCTCAGCTCCTTCAATACTTTCTCTACAACTACATAACATGGCATTGTTTTTGTTTCTATTTCTTGCCACAACCCTAGGAATTTCACAAGGGTCAGACCAGGATACTGTCCCCCACAAAATTCACCTCCTCCGCCCACAATCCGGAGCCGCCGGTAACCATGTACCCGGCTTGTCATGCCTGAGCTGGCGCCTTGGCGTCGAAACTAATAACGTTGTAGGCTGGATTACTGTTCCGGAAGAGTGTGAGGAGTACGTGGGACATTACATGTTAGGCCACCAATACAGAAAAGACTCGAGAGTGGTAGCTAATCAGGCCCTTCTGTACGCCCAAAGCCTCAGCCTGGCCAGAGACGGCAAGGACGTTTGGGTCTTCGACATAGATGAGACCGCACTCTCCAACTTGCCTTATTATGCTCACCATGGGTTCGGGTACGTACGCAATCATGCAGAAAATGAAGTCTATTTTTTGATTATAAAGTGTAAACTTTGTTGATTGCTTGCGATATAAAGATTATACCAATGTTTAAACAAATTATATCTTTTGAAAAGTGTAGTTCGTATTAGCAGCGTGCACTAGGCTATATATATGTTTATGCAGTGACTTTTTGGCCTTAGATGCATCATAGATTGTGTTTAAATTTAGTACTGCAATGCAAAGCAGAAGCGAATTTCAGGCCATATGCGTGACTTTAAACTTTTTTTTTCTTTTGTCTTCAATTTTCATCTCACATGCTCCGTTTAAGTAGTAAAAGTAATGGGTTCTATCACTCACACAAAAAGGAAACATTAATTAATTATTTATAAAAAGAAAATATGATAAGGGAGGAAAAAAAGAAAAAGAAGAAAGAGTATACATATATATTCTCTTAATGATTGGATACATTAATATTTACGACTGAAAGAAAAGTTTGGTGTTTGTCGTGTTTTCAATGGCATGGAAATTCCAGGGTGGAGCCGTATAACCCCACTTTATTCAGCAAATGGGTAACGGAAGGCAAAGCCCCAGCTTTGCCAGAAACTCTTAACCTGTACAAAAAGCTATTGTCTCTTGGGACCAAGGTGGTTTTCTTAACAGGAAGACCTGAATATCAAAGAAGTGTAACAGCTAATAATCTAAGAAAAGCTGGGTATCACACTTGGGAGAAACTCATTCTCAAGTAAGTAAGCTTCCCTACCTCATATAGGATGTATAGTGAACATGGTGGGTCATCCATCTTTTCTTGGTCTGATGCCTGTTTGGTGACTTTTTTGGATGCAGGGGATCATCTTATTCAGGCAAATCAGCAGTGGTATACAAATCAAGTGAAAGAAAGAAGCTAGCGATGAGTGGGTATAAAATCATTGGGAACATGGGTGATCAATGGAGCGATCTCCTAGGGACTGATGTCGGCAATAGGACGTTCAAGGTGCCTGACCCAATGTACTACATCAGTTGAAAATTAATAAGTTAAGGTCTTATTATCATGTAAAATGTGAAACCGGGAAAGTGCCTGTTACCTAATTTTCAAAAGCCTTAAGAGAAGAGGCTCGAGCACATTTTTATATGAATTACGGAAATAATAATGAACTTTCATTGCATAATGCAGTTTGCTTGGTGAATGAGACAATTGAAATTAATTGTAGTTTCTAGTAGTGAAGTCGGGATTTTATGTTTGGAAGTGAAAATAATATCTATAAAGTAGTCATACTAGAAATTCAATATTTGTAAAGACAAAATTATATTTTTATTTTAAAAAAATAAAAGTAAAACTATAAAATATAAAAACAAAATAAAAAAAATTTTAAAATTTTTAAAAAGACAGGATCCTTACTAGCCCCTTCCCTCTGCCTCTGGTAGTTCCCTTCCTTTATTGGGAGGGAAAATCAATTGGTAATTGCAATTGACAATTAAACTTCTACATTATTCATATCTATTAGGAAGTTATTGATGAGAAGAAAATTAATTGCATTATATTGATAAAGTTGTTGTCTTATTTTTTTGTTTAAGATATTGAATTTGCTGTTGTTGCCACATAACACTGCACAATAGAAACCAAAAAGCAAGTCGAAGTCCTTTGCTGCTGTTGATTTGCTAGATGGTGTATCAGTTTCAACTTATGAAAGCATTAAGAAAGTCTTATGATGCTGTGTGGTTGATATTTTCATTGATTTGCTATATTGGTTATTGTAGTTATTATTTTGATTGTTGCATCAATTATTTTTGAAACTACATGGATTTTATAATTCTTTTTGTAACCAAAGTTTATATTTTTGTAAGTAAACTTAACCTTTTTTGTAACTAAAGTTGATATTTTTATAATTGGTTTGTAAATTTAACCAGATTGTTATATTTTCTTGATTTCCAAAGTAAATGGGAAGTTAATACAATGATATCATTTCATGATATATTTTTTCTTAGATTGCATAAATAGATCAATAAAATAAAAAATAACAGGTTTCATATTATAAGTAAAATTGCATTCAACTACAATATTTCATATTATAAGCAAAACTTACATTCAACTATACTATTTCAAGATTTTCATACACTTCTTACATCATTCTAACCTATAGGATAGGCCAACATGCTCATATGTAACATAATTCGAAAAATGATAAAAATACACATGAAGTCAGAGTTTTATTTAATATTTTATTCAATTTAGTTTTTATATTATTTTATTCAATTTAATTCTTATAATGTGACACAGAAAAACTAACATATCAAAAAAATATTTATTCAAAAAAAATTATGACACATCATTGCCACATCAGTATCATTTGATATGTCAATGTCACGTCAACACCATTAACAATCAATTTTAACAAAGTTAAGTAGAAGGTCTCAATTGTACAACATTGCAAAATATAAGACTAAATTAACCAATTTTGGGATAGAAAGACTAAACAGACAAAAATTTTAAAAGAAATTGTGAAAAATGATCAACCTTATATAGCTATTTCAAAAGTAACCTTTTTTATATAAAGTTAATTATTTTTATCCCAGTTTTGTCATGCCTTGACAAAAATACCTTTAAATTCATTTTAGACAAATTAAATCATTTATTATAATTTCTCCTCTCTTTTTCTCTCTCCAGCATCTATCTATTGTGCTCTCAATTTCTCTCTAACCATCCAGCTCTTTTTAATATTATCGATTTCTCTCTCCCACATCCGTTTACTATGTTCTCGATTTCTCTTTCCCTCTATTTAACTCTCTCTAATTTTACTATCATCACCATCTCTCTCTGTTTATTTCTTATCATATTATCGTCGATTTACAAACTAAATAGTAAAGATGACAACAATATATGTTTTTGGATTTATCTGTTTACATTCACAGAACCTCAAAGTTAATGGGTTGAAGTTAAATAAATGAAATCTGTAAATTAGAATACTGTCCAAAGATGTCACATGCTATGTCAAACATGTAATAACTTTAATGCACTTAGCAAGTAGTAAATCTATTGAATATGCCATGGTTTAAATATAGCATGTAACTTTACCTTTATTTTTGTATTTTATTGGGATATAAACTTTTAGAGTTAAATATCTTAAACATTACATGTAAAAATATGACATATAACTTGATCTCTATCTTTATATTTTACTAAGACCTAAACTTTTAAAGTTAAATACCTTAAACATAACGTGTAACAATTTTTTTTAAAACAAAATGATGTAAAATAACTTTTTTTTGAAAATAGAATGTAATAACAATATTTTTTAAATATGATGAGTAAATTAATCTCTATCTTTGTATTTCACAAAGATATAAACTCTTGAAGTAAAACACCTTAAACATGACGTGTAACAACTTTTTTTTTCAACATAACATGTAACTTAGCCTCTATTTTTGTTTTTTTATTGAAACATAAACTCTTGAAATTAAACTCGTTAAATATGGCATGTAGTAACATTTTTATTTTTGTTTTTCACTGAAATATAAACTCTTAGAATTAAACACGTTAAACTTAGTGTAACAATATTTTTTTGAACATAATATGTAATAATATTATTTTTTAAATACGACGTATAACTCGATTTCTATTCTTATATTCATTGATACATAAACTTTTGGATTAAACATCTCAAACATGATGTGCAGTAATTTTTTTTCAGTATGACGTGTAATAACATTTTTTTTAACATATGCGCTTGAATATAAAGAGATTTTATTACGGATATTTTTATTTAAAATTTTTTTCTCTTGATTAAAAACGATTAAAATTAAAAAAAATATTATTTTGAAAATATTTTTATCTTTGAATACTAAAAAAAAATTGTCCCAAAATTCGATGTAATATTTCACTTTAATGCAATTTTATAGCGCACAATGCAAGAAATGTTAAAAAATCTCTCGTACCAGACGTCCAACGGAGTTCTGGGTTGAGCTTCAATTTGATTTTTGGATCTTGCTTAGGCCTATTTTAGTTGTAGGCCTCGTAATAGTGGCGGCGCGCTTCTTTTCCCTTGGGCTTCTTGTACGCCGTCATTCCTATTCATCCAGCGTTTTCAACTTGGCGCAGGCTCCATTCAAGCGCCCTCCTCACTCCCACGTCGTATTCCACCGAACTGTTAACTTTCAGATCAGTCAGTCAGGCCTTCTTACCTTTCGTGTATATTCTTTTATTTTCTTTTCAAGGTTGCTTGACATTGTCTCTTCTTAGAATGGTTGGAACATATTAGAATTCGGTAGATGGGTTATTATAGGGGACGTGGACGAGGAAGGGGATATGGAGGAGGTGGCTTTTCGGGGTATTTTAAGCCTGGGCCAGTTGTGCTTTTCCCTGTAAGTATCCTCCACTTGTTGTGTTCTGGGCATGGGCTTAGAGCTCTCTGTAAGCTATACATAATGACTGAAGAT